AATTAGATATTTTGTCAACAGATTTTTTTTCGTTTAGTTTTAAAAAAAATAGATATGACAAATCGCAAATCTTTAGCTAACTTCAAATACGTACTCTGATCCACAATCTTGGGTTTGTGGAAAGGGTGGGGATGAGAATCATTCTGCTCGGCCTTGGGGTCCGCCTTGGGTCTCCTGAGGCCAATGTTGGGCAGGTCCCTCTCTTTCTTATGCTGTTGTAGCACGTTCTTCACGTTCAACTCGACGAAAGACTTGATCTCCTCGTCCGTCAGCTTGGCAGACGCAGAACTCACGTACACCAGAAACAGCACAATCTGGACGTGGCACAGCTGCACAAGTATATTCCGGAATAAACGCGCCATTTTGAATTACGTGATTTCACGAAGAAGAAATCAAATTGAGACGCTGCAAAATAAATACCCAGTGCCCAGCTTACAGCGCTTGTCAATGTTATCTGTTCACTTCTCAAATATCACAAAGCCTTTACGAGGATGTCCAGGATCTGTATAATCATCAACTAAAAAGACGCCTTAAACGGAAAATGTTCATGCTGCTGCGGCTATTGACACTTAGCCTAGTTTCGCTTTCGGAAATACGCAATTGTTTCAACAAATATTATTTCGTTAACATGATTATCTAGCTTTTAACCGAACTCCGATAAGCCGTCGTTGCGTCGTCCGACGACATTTCAACTAGAAAGAACGTGAGCAGACTCAAAATCGTTCGGTCGTCTGAATAAATCCAAGGGGAGAGAACTCCGAATCAAAGATTTCATCAGAAAGTGCCACATGGTGTTTAACACGCGTCCGAGCCTGCTTGGACCAGGAGGGGTTGGTTGACTCGTGTGTTGTGGGCATGCGACATACGCTCGCTGGGTGGCACAGCTTTTATCGAATTTGTAGATTGTGTAGGAAATTGATCCGATAAAATACCAACCATTTTGACTGAGATCGGGCGTTTGATGGAAATGTTCAGTGTTCAGATTATAATGTGGTGTGCCCATCTAATTTCTTTCCTTTTTTTCTGTATGTATATAAAATTAAATGGTATGAGTCTTTGGGCATTATCCTGTCTGATTTGTGTGTTTGTATGTGTTTGTTCGTGTGTGCGCGCGTGTGTGTGTGCGTGCACGTGTGTGTG